CTCTCAAATACAGCCTCCCTCAATGAAACCTGCTTTGCGATTACAGTGAGGCCGATGAACTACTGCTCAAATGTAACTCATTGCACATTTCGTATTTTGTGTAATATGTATTACGTGTAAGTTTTTTAAAGGTAAGTCTGCAAAGTCTATTTCCATAAAATAGCTTGGGTGGTTGGGGGTTTTGTGTTTTATTTTGTTTAATTTAGTACCTGGTGGACTGGCAGCCTTCTGACTGGGAATCTTGAACTGAGTCTAGTATTTACTCACCCTGAACTTGAACAAGTGTCTGGGCTGTGTCACACTAGAAAACCAGCTTGGATGCATTGTCATCAATGTCTTTCCAGCTGTGTGAAGAACCCACTCCCACTCAATTAAATGCAACTAGAACTTTTAATCCAGTGAAAGCCATTTAGTCAATGCATCAAAAAGCAAGAAAATTTCTGGACAAAAATAACAGTTCCAACCATGTAAGCCCACAACAACATCCTCTTCAGAAAAGTTCTCCTTTTTTATCCCCCCTAACTATCCCATTGTCCTTGCCATTAGCAAAACCACTCATCATTAAACAGGAACACCATCAATTTGGATGACTGAAACTAGTTGGAGCAGCTTTTACTTTTACCACCTCAGGGCATGGTGTTCTTCAGATAAGCTGTCCTGTAGCATATTCCCATTAACTCGATGTAAAACAGAAACACGTGAAAAGCCACGTTCTCCAGTATAGGCTAAAAACAGGCAGCCAATCCAGAAATACAAACAAAACCACAATCCCTAGCCTCGCCCCTCCTCCTCCAATCCTCATTACTAAACGTATCCGTGTGTTTTGCAACTTCCATCAGAACTGCTCTTATTTGCTGGTGTCTGTGTTTGCCAGGGCAGTTTGTTCTGTCCCGTTGTTCTGTCTTGCTCTGTGGGTCAGGAACTGCCTCTTAGAGAGACTGATGTCTTTCAGAATAACTGAGGAGTCAAGTGTTGTGAGGTCCAAGGTGACGGATGTCTAAGGCACTTTGGGGGGTTTTTTGCCTTTTTTGTTTTCTGCTGTAGGCTCAGGATTGCAGTCTTTAAACCTTGCTTGACACCTTTTGCATTTGCTAACTTGGACAGGAGGAGGGGCCCAAATTAATACTTAACACCAGAGGGACACAAGACATTTCTGATACACCAGAAAGAGATGTATTGTATGGTCACATAGAATTTTTTTTTTCTATGTGCTATTTTTCTGTGACACCATCATCATGAGAAAAGGTTAGGTTTAAACTCTGATTATGAGATTTATCCTCTTAAAAAAACAATTAAGAATTTTAAGGACACCTCTGAGTGGGCAGAGAGACAGTCAATCCGAGATGAGGCAAGCACATCCCTGTGTAAAAGCAGGTTATTTTTACACAATTTATTCAGCTCTATTTCTACAGATTGCTGAAAAGGGCAGCTGGATTAGTATGTTCCTTTAAGAGGTAAAGACTAAAGCAAAATTATAGCCATTGTACTCCTATTCATAAATCAGTTTTGAATAATACTTGCCTTTGAAAGATCTCAAAATATCTCACAATCATACATTTAGGCTAAGAAAGATGATCTACAAGCATGGGTGATGATTAAGTTGCCAGTTACATGGTCTGCAAATGATGCAGCTAGGAATTAAGGGCAGATTTACTACTTCAAGTGGATTAATCAGGAGCTACATTATAAAATCACATGAATTTTCTTACATTTCACATAGCACCAGTGAAATTGTAATAATTGAAGTATTTGGCTGTAAACCTGTTGTGTAAAGGATTAGATTTGTTAGACCTTTATAAGATTTTAGTGGCCCTGCAAATCCAAAAAAGGTTGAAATCTCAGTGGATACTTGCTCACAGCCAGTTTTGAAATCCAGCTGCTCTGTTCTTACTCTGTCCCACTTCCATAATAGTACTGTCTGTATTTATTGAGCTGCTAAGGAAGAACGTGATCCTCACTGACCCACCCAGACAGCGGGCTCAGCTCTGGCAGGCTGGGGGAGGGTTGCTGCACACACACACACCTCCAAAGTGCATCTTTTCAACTCGCTGGCTTTCCAGAGACAAAAAGGATCCTTTCTACCTTATTCCCTCTTGACACTGAAAGCAAAAATGGGAAGAGATTTTACTTTGTGCTATTTTTTTTCTTGCTCGTATTTTAAGTTTCTGTGGAGTTGAAAAGTAGTTGCTGCTGTTAAATATTTCTTCACTTTGGTTTAAGAACTTTTGCTCCTACCTTTAACAGACACACGAAGGTCAGTGAACTGTCCCTGGCACATGAAGCTAAGCACAGACCTGGGGTAAGATGAAGCCCTGGGAGTTTAGACCAGGTTTGTAGCTTTTCTGCATAATGTCAGCTCATTGTACAATTCTTCATAGTGCTGTGTTCGGGGGAAAAAAAAAAAGAATACAAATAAAAAGTTCTTTTTGGAAGAAGCAGCAGGAGGGTGTAGACAGAAGCCTGGCTTCTTAGAGTGAACCAGTGCCAGAAACTTCTACTGGCACAATGGATGGGGTCGATCAAGGACAGGCCAAGTGTCTGGATATTTCTTCAGCAGCAGTGCCAGCCAGTGGCAGCTTAAGCTGCCCATGAAATCGGACCTGAATCTTACATAAAGCGGGACTTCACAGGTCTGTAGTTTAGGTACAATTCCAGATCTGCAAAGCTTATGCGCTCTTAAATCCAACCTGCTTCAAATCCATACAGCAACCTCCCTGAAGTGTGCGTACATGTGTGTATGGGGGGGGAGAGCATTGGGAACCTGGGCAGGAGAAGTAGGACTGGGAAACCACCGAGTAACAGCCCTGTCTGTATCCTGTGGAAACTGTGTGATGGAGCTGTTGTTCAGCAGGCAAAAGTCCATATTCAGGCCTCTGACAGGCAGACACAAAGAACCCGGGGCAGCACACAGAATTTGCCAGGAAAGCAGGGAAGAGACACAAGCAGAAAGCAGTTTTCTCGTTGTTTCATCACTGCACAATCCCTGTTTGTTCTTTGTTTCCCTTTTATGTGGGAAATGGCATGTTCCGAAATGATTACTTTAAAGTGTTCCTTGGGATCTCATCCCTGAGCTCAGTTCCGTTTAATAACAGAGGAAATGTAATATTACAACTGTTCTGCTTAGCATAGGTTGGAAGTCAGGCCGAAGAAACAAGAGAAAGTTACTGCAAATTGATCTTCATGGTGAATCTGAGCATGTGACGTTTCCTTAAAATAGTTACATGCATTGAATTCTTGCAGTAGGGAGTTTGTGTCTGCCTCAGCCTCACTCCCACATCTCCCTGGCCAGCTCAGGAAATATCTCCTTTTGTAGACTGTGAGTTTGTGCAAGTGCTTCTTTCCAGAAATGCAGAATGTGAGTTTAGGAACTCTGAAGAACCAGAAGACCCTCTGCACCTTCAAGGGACAGTTGCTCTTTGGAACATTTGAGTACATGTAGTTCTGTAAAATATCACAAACAGAACTGTTCAACAGACTTCTGCAAACCAATCAATACAAAGCAGACAGATCTATAGATCAATTGGCTGATCAAATGCACATGTTAACACAAACACATGACCTTGGCATTAGTTATTTGCCTTATGACAACCCTCAAAAAGCCAAAATGTGACCTACCAGCTTTAACAAGGCCAGTGATTGGTGAGGAGTCAATATGAGCTTTGCCATCGTGCATTTATCACCCATTTTTGCAAATACTTTATACACTTTACCTTACCAGAAGTTCTCAAATTGACGCAACTTCGCCTGTTGCAGCGGCTTCTGAAGAGATGAGGAACTCAGCAGCTGTACAAGAGAACTGCATGACAGTAAATAAACTCTGCAAGTTTACTTATGTCACTGTGTTATGAAATGTCACTGATGTGTTGTATGAGTAAGCAATCATGGACTTTGTGCTTAGGCTGTGCCTTGGTGTTTTACTGAAGTTTGTGCTCACTGCTACCGAAGCTCAGAGAATAAAAAATGAGCTCACTCACAACACTTGACTGCGAGTGGGAGTTCCCAGGGCTTTGCAGAAGGACAGGATCAATCCAATTCAGTTATGAGGTAGACGGTAAACAGTGATGCAGAAACATGTGTACATCACACCCACAGAACTGGGGAAAAGTTGGTAGTACCCAAATGAAAGGTGGAAGTGGTGTAAGGCCGGTTTCCGCAGGGCAGTTAAACCATCTGTTTACATTCCCACTGGGTCACATGTGCCTGTGATTGTTTGTCCTATTCTCTTCCAGATGCTGTTGAGTTTCTCCATGAATTTACTGAACTGCAGAGTCCTAAAATGAACTCCATCAGTGGCTTTGCCTGTGCCATGCAAAGGGAAATGACTGCTTTCCAGGGTTTGTGTGCAATGCCACTTTTAATGGCCCAGAAGTAATTTACTTCCTCTGCAGCAGCACATTGCTTTGATAGACTCTGATTTGCTTTCCATGCCATCACTTTATCTAAAGATTTTTACTATTTTGAATTCGTATCCTGTCTTAAAATTCTAAAATGTAGTAACTTCTGCTTTTTGTTATCAAAGTCAACCTCCTTGATCTAACATTATTTCTTGTATGAATCAATGATGCTCAATTCCTTCTTCCATCTGCCAATTTTAGAAACTCAGCTTCCCTTTCTCCTTTACTACAGTATTGGGCAGACTTGACCTGCCTGAAGGGCTGTTACCCAGTTAAGCCCCATCTCGTGGGAAGTGGACACACATGTGCTTTGTTCTGGTGTCCTGGCAGTGGGGCAGGTACTCTGCTCGGATGAAACACAACGCTAAGCAGTTGGGCAAACACTGCAGGGCTTCCCAAGTGCCGTGGGAGAGCCCGGGATCAGCGGGACGGAGCATCCCACAGACCACTGCCATGTTTGGGGGCTCATCCCGGCCGCCCGCACCGGAAGTGCCCTCACGCCTCGGTGTATCCAATGGCGCGAAGGAGGCGCCCCTCAGCGCCCGCCCCCTGCTGATCTTTGCGCTGCCATTGGTCGAGCGCGCCGTCCATCTGCCCACACCGGGGTCCGGGGCGCGCGGCGGAAGCGGCGGGGCCGCGGCAGTTCCGCCTCGGCGTCGGTGGCGCTGCACGAAATGGCGAAGATCGCCAAGACCCACGAAGGTAAAAATCGCCCGGGGGGCTCCGCGCCCGCGCCCGCCGGGCCCGCGCGCCCGGGCAGCGCCCACCGCTTGCGCTTCTCTTCGCCGCCTCGGCGCGGCGACGGGCGCGGCCGGGCCAGCGGGGGCCGGGCGGGCCGCGGCTCTGTGTAATGGCGGCTGCGCCGTCAGCGCCGGGCCCGGCCCGGGGGGAGCTGGGCCCGAGGGGGAGCCGGGCCCGGGGAGCGCTCGCTGTGCCCGCGGGGCACGGGGCGCGGTCTTTGCGCTGCCGCCCCCGCGGCGCGGCCCCCCCGCCCGCAGAGCCCGCGGCCGGCGCTCGGGGCGAACGGCGACGCGCGGTGATCGCGGCACCCGAGCCCTTTGGCCTTGGCCCGCCGTGAACAGCGGCCAGAGGGGCGGGGGGAAGGAGGGGTGCCGCTGGAGCCGGCGCGGCCCGGGCCGATCCTGGATGAGAAAAGTGTCCCGGAGGAGGGGAAAGGGCGCGAGGGCTCCGGCGTGTCAGCTGCCATTTCACACGCGTTTCCTGGCTGTTTATGTAGAAAAACTGCTCCCCCCCGAGTGGATTGGGGAGCGAGGGCTTTCATAGGCCGTGTGTTATTCCCGAAGGCGGCGGAACGCGCTGCTGCTTCCAGCCCTTCGTATCGGGAACGAAAGCTGTCCTTGTGGACGGTGACCGTGGCTTGCCCTGCTCTTAAGTGTATTCAGGCATCGGAGAATAATTAAGAATTATACCGCTCCTCTGTTTCTGCTTTTGGGTTTTCAACTCGTGTTTCTGTGTACGATAGGTGATCTGCTGTATTTTATCTTAATTTACATTCATAATTCCCTGATCGAAAACCACCTGCGTTCAGTAGTTGTGCACTGGGGGGTAGGCCGGGCGCCCAGGTAGTCATTGACTTTTGGGGGTGCGGTTTCTAGTTTCCAATTTTGCACTTAAACTTTTCAAATGGACAGCCATCATCTCCCGTGGGATTGAGGTTAATGTAGTCTTTAACACTGCAGACCTAATCTGAGTTTAGGGGTGAAGAAAAGCTTAAACTGCTGTCCTCACATTTTTTTTATTATGTGGTTTGATTTTATTTATTTATTTATTTATTTATTTTTAATTCTTGGACATTTCTGTAGAATTACAGAAGTTGCCGTTTGTTTATATGTTGTGACCTGCATAAGAGTTTGTGAGAGTATTACCCATCACGCTGCTCTGCCTCTCATATTACCTGAAGAGATTTTTGTAATAAAAGAGTAGAATCGTTGTAGGATTTTTTTTTTCAACTTAAATTGCTTATTTATTGAAGCAAAGGCTGGGCCATTGACTTCAGTGAAAACATTAACATGCTTTCTATTGCACGTTGTGATTAGTGTTATATCAGAACATATTTTAATCAGGGAGTAGTTCAATAAAAATATGTATACCAGGGCATGATCATTTAATGCTCTTTCCTAGCTGAACAGGCTTATTATTTTTCTAATGAGCTCTATCCTATTTTTTTTTTCCAGTTTCTGACTAATTTTCCACATCGAGGTTACTGAATCATCTTAAAAGATTTTTCATGTATTTGTACTGTTTTTTTTAAATACTAATTGGTTGATGTGTTCAAGACACAACTTGAAAAATGTATTAGAACAGTTGGTGATTTTTGTCAGCTACATAGTTTAATGGGGAACTCTGTGGTTTAGGCAGAAAAGTAAAGTTTTAAATGGCAACTTATAAAGCCTCAATAAATGATTGAGCTTTGAATTCTACTGGAATTAGTTTTTAATTTAATTTTTTTTTTCTTGCTCAGAAAAGAGCAAAAAGATCACCAAACATAACAGAGAGATGTAACGTGTATAAGAGTTCTAAGGTTGTTAGAAATAAATCTGCACAGGGCAAGCTAAATGTGCAAAATTTGATAAGGCATGAAAACATAGGAACTGTTTACTCTGTAAGGTACTACCTCAGAATAGGGTCTGGTTCTGCTTTCTTTTTTGAATGTTGCAAGTAGAACTACATGTGTGGTAATGGAGTACATATTTTGAGGAAAGCTCTCATGGACCTGTCTGAGCTGGATGTTCACTGACTTCTAATTCAAATGTATTGACTTTCATAACATACAGATGTGCATGTTAAAGTTATTTCTTTTAAAATACCAAAATATAGTTGAATAAAATACAGAGAATGTATGAGCAGCAGGATGTTATCCCCCTCCTCTTTTTTCCCCTCTTAATTCTCACTTCCTTTACTGTTTCTCTGTCTATGACTGAAGTTTCTGTTAATGTCCTGGTTAACTAAATCATCAGATGAGTGCTTTGCTTTGCACTATGTGTTTTTAAGGTTTGTGATTACTCTTTCTTAATTTGATTTGTATTAAAGTGCTTTGTTAAAGAAGGTGTGAGCTTTTCCAGGACAGTGCCACTTAGCTCAGAGAAGCTTGAACATCAAAATAGCATTTTCCAGCTAAATATGGGGTGCTTTCCAAAGGGGCCACCAGGCAGCCTGTTGCTGCAGACCTCCTGCTTCAGAGGGTTTTGTGGATGTCACATGGATGTTTTCCATTTAAACTGGCTCCCAGGAACGGTATGGCATTAGGTGAAAGTTATGGTGACCAGGAGTGGGATTTGTTGGCTCTGTCCTTTCAGACTTTCTTTGGTGTAGATAACCCAGCAGGCTTTGCTGTACAGAAATGAGAATGCTCCTTAGTCAGCTAACAGATGTAATCCCTGTAAATTTAAAGGAGAAGACCAACAATAAAGGAGACCTGTACCCTTTTCAGTAAATGTAGCTGTTTAAAAAACAAGAGACTAAGGCTTTAGTATGCTAAGTGTTGGTAAGAACTGTTAATAGGAAAGTATTTTTGGTTTAATGCCATTGCTGCAGAAATCCCAAGATTGTTTGAAAAGACTCTATTGATGGTAGTAGTGGGGGGAGTCCATGCACAAGCAAATCTCTGTGGCCCATCCTGTGGGCAGGGGCTTGTATTTGGCTGAGTTACATGTTCAGGTTGATTCAGTGAACAGGTGATGGAAAGGCAGGATGATCCTGTGTTGTAGGTAAGATCTGTAGGCTTTCTTTTGTGTACTGAAGTTGGTTACAGCTATGGATGTTCAGTCAGGACTTACCCTGCTACTAAGGCGGCAGAGCGTTGTTCTAGTAACTGCTCTCTAGAAATAAGAAACAGTGTTACTGTGCTCTGAAATCACTCTCTCAGTGCCAGTAGTGTTGTCCTCGGGAGAGAAGGAAGCTTCGGGTGTTCCCTTTCACCCCAGAGCTGCATTGCACCAGGCTGCAGAAGGAATCAGGAACTTGATCTGCTCTCTGGAAGAAACAGAAAGAACTAAAAAATCTGTGAGGAGAGTGTTTGAGTTGCACTGGCTCCATAAGCAAGCCATGGGATGACTTCGCCAAAGTGGAATACCTTGAGATGACACGGGGGAGCAGGATACCTGTGCCTCCAGAGGTGATCAGAGACCCCTGAGGGCAAGAGAGAGACCCCTGATTCGGCAGTAGTTTCTTTTTGCTGCTTCTCCAGGAGATAACATATTGGGGAGCAACATGCCTCAAGGTCTGGACTCCCTGGAATCCCCTGTGGTGTGCAGGATTTTAGTGGGAGCTGGATGTACCTGCAGGCAGGAACCAGCAGGCTCTCACAGCCAGAAAATGAGGCTTTTGTCAGGTTTCAGCTTCTCACGAGCTGAGTTGCTGTAACACAGAGGTGGCCGTCCAAGTTATTCTGCTCTAGATAACCTGCAAAAGGCTGATGGAAGCCCTTAAGTGGCTGGAGCAAGATTTTAATCAACCTCTATGGTATATATTCTGTGAGTGAGACTCTAGATGAGTTTAGAAGCATATTTCTGTGTTTTTCCCACTGGACCACTGCAGGAGTTGCTGATTTGCTGTCAGGTGTACTGTGCTTATGTGAAGTGGGTGTTCCTCACTGCCAGTTCCTGCAGGCTGTGTGTGAACACTTAATCCTGCTGTTCTCTCTCAGCTCTATGGCAAAGATTTCTCAGGTAGAACTCTGTGTTCAGTTGCCTCTCTAGAAAACATGCCTTTGTAAAGCAGGCATAATGTGGCTTACAGTGGGGTATGGTTTGTTTGTTTGCTTGCCTTTTTTTTTTTTTTTTTTTTTTTTGGTTCGTGGCAGTCTGATAAGAAAAGATAAGAAAAGAACCCAGCCCTGACTTTAAGTAAAAACTTTAAGTTTACAGTTTGAACTTTTGAACTAAGCAATTCTGATCCAATAATTTGCATTAGCAATAAATCTTACCTTTAGAAAAACAATATTTTAATTTTATTTTTTGTCAGATTTTTTAGCAAATCTTGTGGTATGACATCTTTTGCAAGCTGACTTGGTGGGAAAACGTTATGAAATGTTTTCATCCTGAAAAAGAGAAATGAACAGCAGTAGCAAACAACTAGTGAATGGTCAGGATTTAAGATCATTTATGAACAGAATTTCCTGTAGCTTTTTTTGTCGATTGGCAAATTTCCCTTAAGTTAATGTAGCAGGCAGTACCACTTCATGTGGGAGAGGGTCAATCACAGAATTATTGGTGTTGGAAGGGTCTTTTGAGACCTTCCACTCAAGCACGATCCTTTGTATTTCTGCAGCCATGAAATGCAACTCTTGGGTATTTTTTTGGCCATGAAAGTAATTGTTTGATTTGCTGAAGTTTACATTATATGGATAATTGTCTTTACATATCTGTTGACTCAAAATTCACATGGAAACAGTAATAATTTTATGAGGTTAGTTGTGCCTTAGTATACCTGCATCACAGTTGTATTTGTTGAAGACAGTTGGATTACGGCAGTTTATTTTCTCATTGTGTTACAACAGATAGAGGAGGGCATTTGGTTCCTGGTTTAGTGGATTGTCAAGTTGGTGTTCTCTTAGAAAGTACCAAATTTCTAAGGTCAAAGATGGCCACCAGAGCTGATTTGAGTCAGATCCTGAGACAGTAAAAGAATGGCAGAGCTCCCATTTGTCCTGTTTGAAGGGTGTTTTGTTATCCAGAAGAATAGTAGACTCTTAAGAGATGGTGCTGCAGGCAGGAATAATGATGACTAAATAACATCTGATCTGCCAAAGGGAAAAGAAACTGGTCCGAAGTTTGGGGTTTTTTTTGTTAAGTTGGTACCCAGTGACATATTAGTTGGGTTTTTTAATTTATTTATTCAAAGGCAATACAGCTTTGCAATGTTAGAAAACACAGTACAGTGTTGTTTTATTAAATCAGCTTTTAGAACTCTTGCAGTAGCTCTTTTGAAAAGGTTTGTTTAAAAAAGCAAAATTGGTTATAAGATTGTGGAAAGCCTTTTTTAATGAGAGGATTACATTTGTTGGGAAAGTGTTTTGTTAGTGTAGTGTTGAGAAACGTTACTGTGGTGTAAATTGCCTTCTCTCCTATCTCTGGAAGATGAGATAGTTTGATTAGTTTGCTTTGGGCCACACAATTAGTCTGTGGTGAATAATATTACAACTTTAGGAAAAGCTGCTTATGAATGGAATAGAGTTTATGGTACTTATTTATTATTTAAAGCATTATATGTTATGGTACCTTACAGTTATGTGTGTAATGCATGTTTATTTCTTCAGTGATAATCTTTGAGGTCGGGAAAAAAACTCTTTGCTGTACACAGTAACGTGAGTATTACATTTTGTGTGTACCTGTAAAAAGACTTTTTTTTTTTTGTATCTTTGCCCTAGATATTGAAGCACAAATTCGAGAAATTCAAGGAAAAAAGCCTGCTCTTGATGAAGCACAAGGAGTAGGCCTTGATTCCACAGGATATTATGATCAAGAAATTTATGGTGGCAGTGACAGCAGGTTTGCTGGATATGTCACTTCTATTGCAGCAACTGAATTGGAAGATGTAAGTGATTTTATGTATTTGTTGTTTAGGGCATGCAATCCAAGTATTTTTAAATCAATTTTGAGTAATTTTTAATAGCAATTGTTTGTAGTAAAAGCAGTTGTCATTAAAGCCACATTGGACCAAATATATCTTATCTAGGAAGCTTATAATCATAGAATAGTTTGTGTTGGAAGGGACTTCAAAGATCATCTCATTCCAACCGCCCTGCCCTGGGCAGGAACACCTTTCACCAGACCAGGTTGCTCAGAGCCCCATTCAACCCAGGCCTGAACACTTCCAGGGATGGAACATCCACAGCTTTTCTGGGCAACCTGTTCAGGGCCTCACCACCCTCCCAGACATTTTTTTCCCTAATATCCAGTCTAAAGCAGCTCTCTTTCAGTTAGAAGCTGTCCTGTCACTACACAGCACTACATGCCTACATCCCTTAAGACATTGGCAGGTCACAGTTAGGTCTTTTCTCGGCTGAACAAACCCAACTCAGCCTTTCCTCATAGCAGAGGTCTCCATCCCCCTAATCACCTTGATGGTCTCCTCTGGACCTGCTCCATCAGCTCCATGTCCTTGCTGTGCTGAGGACCCCAAAGCTGGGTGCAGCACTCCAGGTGAGATCTCACCAGAGGAGAACAGAGGGGTAGAATCCCCTCCCTCACCTGCTGGCCACGCTGCTTGTGATGCCATCCAGGACAGGATTGGATTCTGGGCTGCCAGAGCACGTGGCCAGGTCATGTCCAGCCTCTCATCCACCTGCACCCCTGAGTTCTTCCTGGGAGAGCTGCAGTTTTAAGCCTGGCTTGTACTTCATGAATTGCATTTGAGAGCCTTGAAAGCCCAAGCAAAAGGCAAAAAATTGTGACCTGGTACATAATCAGTGTCAGCCTTACCTGGAGTTAATTAACTTTGTTCTGTTGTTGGTGCCTAGATTAAAAATGACAGTAAAAAAATTCTAATAAATCTTTGTCCAACAAACTTTACTGACTATTCTAAGATTTCTATTTCTACTTACTTTCAAATTTGAGAGGAGTTTTTTGAGAATTGACTCTGTCACTGTATTATGTTCTCTTTATGTATCCTGCTTGTAAGATTACTTTATGTTAATTTCTAATTTAAACATTTGAGCACATTTTCAGTTGCAGAAGCAGTCAGAAACTGCAGTTCTAATAATAAATACATGGGCAACTACATATTATACTGAGTGAATTGTATCTTTAAGAGTGAAGAAGGTTATGTTCAGTTTAGTACTCATTGATTCATTGTAGATTTGTTTTTTTTTTTTAGTGTCATCCATAAACTTCTAAGAATCCCTTAATTAAAAATTTCTGTTAGTCTAGAACTCTCTGAAAAGTTTCCTAGTTTTAAGAGCAGTTTTCCTTTAGGGTTGCTGTAAGTTATTGCCTAGAAACTGACTACTGATATGAAGAAATAGATACCAAAAGTGAGTGCTGCTTATTGGCATTATGATTGAATTAAGTATAATAATCTAGCAAAATATATCTCTGAATTTTTCACTGTTTCTGAAGCTTTTTTATAGGGTTATTTACTCAAGTTTTGTTCCATATAACTGAATTCTGTGAGAAATAGTTTGATTATCAGTGCACCAGTTTTCATATGCCAACATAAGAGCTGTATCAGAAGTGGTAATATGAAATACAGATGTTTTGTCTAACTATTGTAGATAAACACAAGCGTACTTGATAAAAGGTAACACTGGAGCCTTGTAGAGAACAAGACACCTTTTTAGTGGTATGGGCATAATAATAAAAGCTGTATGAGAAAACTTGCTAAAATTTAGAATGAACGTGTCCATTTCCATCTTTTCTATGGCCACAGCATGTTCACTTGGTGTTAGTTTACCTAAATATATTAGCATGACAAACTTGCCATGTCTTTTTACTGCCAGGATGATGATGACTACCCTTCCACCAGTTTGCTCGGGCAGAAGAAGCCAGGGTACCACGCTCCAGTGGCATTGCTCAATGACATCCCACAGTCCACTGAACAGGTACGGCTCAACCAACGGCACAGGAAAACACTGGCTTAGGTGTCAGGGGAAAGGAGTGTTCAGGTTTGTCCACAGCTCACCTTGACTTCTGGAAATACGAGATGTATGTGAAGGGCTATGGTTTTTTAATTTTGCTGTAAGCTTGTTAGTGCTTTAGCTTGGAATTTCACAGGGTGATAAAAATTGGCACTTGTGCACATAAAGCCCATTTGGGCATATAAACTACTCTATTGATTTTTTTTTTTTTTTTAATTAAAAGTCACATACTTCAGAAACAAAAATAACTGGAAATCTTAATGACCTTTACACTTCTGGTTTTTTGAGGAAAATGTAATAACTTAAATTTTATATTCCTGGAGTATTTTTTTTGTGAAATTCAAAACCATTTGAAGTAGCATTGAGTCACGCTACGGAAAGAAGGGGAAAGGTTGACAGCACAAAATGCTTTGGTAGCATGGGAATAAACTTTTAAAATTGAAGAATTTTATCAGAAGTGATTTCTTAAGAAGCTGGGTTAAAAAAAGTGAAATTCTAGTTACAGAAGTAAAATTTATGTTAGCATGATGCTTTGACATTCCTATGTAGTCGAGATGGAAAATAATCTACATCTTTTTAGTAACACCTGAAAATGAATGAGTACCAGACAGTTTCCATATTGATCCTCATACATATGTGACTAAAAGGCGCTTTTTTTGTTGTTTTTAGTATGATCCTTTTGCAGAACACCGTCCTCAAAAGATTGCAGATCGGGAAGATGAGTACAAAAAGCACAGGCGGATGATGATAATTTCCCCTGAGCGTCTTGATCCTTTTGCAGATGGTAATTTGTTTTGACTTTTCTATACCCTGTATGAAATTTTTGTCTTTAATTGTCTTTAGCCCTTTGATTTCTGTTGGCATGCTTATGAACTTAGTTTTGTTTTTAAACATCCCCTTTTCATAGAGATTTGGTTGAAAAATCTAGATGCCATATACTTCATCTTTATAATACGAGTTTTCTTTCCAGGTAGAAGGACAAGAAAATTGTCAATGAGCCATTGCCATAGAAACACAAAGGGTTAAAGGTTTCTCTTTTCTTTTGTTTTGGGTTGTGCGTTGTACTATGAACAACTTGTGTATTGAGTGCTCAGATTCATTCAGTACCTTGAAAGTTTTCATTCCGAGTCATAGATTTTACAGGGTTACTGCTTTTGAAATGCTCAAATAGAGCACCTAATTCTTACCATCCTAAGTAAACCTTAGGTGGTGTAGCTAAAAGAAACAAAAGCATATATAAGACTTTGATACTACTAATAGTTCAAGTCTGTTCTGATAATTTGAGAATGCAAGTCAGGAAAAGGGGTGTTAGTGGGTCTGACAGAAATTTTCTTCAGGTGAGTGAGTTTCACATGTGGCAATAAGATGCCTGTTGGCTTAAAATTAGTAGCTATTTTGCAGGTTTTACAATTGAGAATTTCAGCCTGCATGAATTAATAGGGATATTAATTATTTTACTTGCTTAATTGTAATTGATATAAACATGTATTGTCAGAATTCACAGGCCCATACTAACTGTCCTTAATTTCTTTCCTACAGCAGTACTGCTATATGCCAGTCCTGTCTGCATTCTTAAGGGTGCAGTTCAACACATCCTGTGTAGATTATGGTGAAAAAGTATTCCAAAGGAAAGTCCTATCAAAGCTAGTGTCAGAAAGACACAGCCAATTGGGCAGGGATCTTCAGCATAGAAACGTTTAAGAAGTTTATTTTTTTCCCTAAAGTATAATGCTATACCACTTGTATAGCAAATCCGCACATTTTTCTTTAAGAAAAGTGTTTGTCTTGACAAGTCTCATTGCTATAAAGTTGGGCTTCTTTTAAAGTATTTAAAAATTTAATTAATGCAAGATACACAGCATAAAACAACATATGGTGTACAAAACCCATTTCCTGTGAGTATTGTTGTGGTGGTGTATGTACTGTATTGCATTCAGCTCCCAATCACAATTGTACCTTGAGAAGAGAAGAGGGGGAAAGTGTCATCAAATGGTTTTGTGGGGTTTTTTGTTTTGTTTTATTTTTATTTTTTAATGAAGCCCTGTTACAATATGACACTAGAAGGTCTGTGAGACATGTCCAGATTTGTCAAACTTACAAATGGGTCTTTATGATAAAACAGTTTAAACGTTACTTAGGTATGCAATAGTTATTTATAGTCAGATAACAAGTAGGATTTAACAGCTTACACAAGGTAATGTTTTGATATTAAATATCTTTCCAAAGTGTTACTAATGGTAAAGAGATAATTTTCTAGGCTTCTATTCTGCTGCTTGAAGTCAGAACTGCTGATGGAGACAAAGGCACGAAAGTGTACGTATTCCGGATTAGCAACCCAGGAACCCATCACTTCTGAAGACTCTTAACTGTGTTGTCATTTTATCATTTTTATCAGCTTTAAAATATTTGTTTGAAACTGCAGTAGTTATGTTTGTGTTCAAACAGGTTAAATTGATCAGCAAACTGAATAAACGTAAGATACATGTAATTTTTAAAATTTTCGATCAAAAAGTAAAATTAAATGATCATGGAATAATATAATACTAGAGCAGGACAGTAGAAGTCAATAGGTTCTGCTTATCCTATACTCATTGTGCTCCATTCCTGTTGCTGTTCTCTTCCACAGGAGGGAAGACTCCAGATCCTAAAATGAATGCCAGAACATACATGGATGTTATGCGTGAACAGCATTTAACGAAAGAAGAGGTGTGTTTGGGGGAGGGTCTTCCACTTGAACAATTTACAGCCTTTGAAAGCATGTTAAGAGAGTGGGAACATAAATTCAGTTGACTTCGTCTTGACTTATCTTGGCTATTGAAAGTCAATAGAATTTAAAGATGAAAGTTTTGAAAAACATCTGTTCTACATAATAACTGAGCAGTGCAGGGAGAAATATATTGAGACTGTTTTCATCTGGATTTTTTTATAGCACTTGGGCTTTGTTGTTTATTTTCTTACAAGAGATGAGAGACAAATTCGTAACAGTGACTGAGAAGTATTCAGTGTCAGATGTTTGTTTTTGTGAGCTCTGTGTAAAGAGAATCCAGGGAGGTTTTGAAAGGCTTGTTAAAGTACTTACAACAGATGTTGCAGTATTAAGATGTATTATAAGGTTGACATTTGGTTTTAAATATTAAGAAAAAAAAGGAAAAAAAAAAAGATAAAGTACTTTACTCATGACTATTAAAAAATCATTTTAGTAGGTAAAAAGATATTGGTAATACATCAGATTTCTTGTGTAAAACCTACAGTGCCATCTTGTTAATTGGAGCAAGACCTTGTAGTTCTAGTGGCTTCTGACATTGATTTATCATACTTGTCTTATGCTAATTTAGGAATTAGTTCATAATTTTGACAGTCTTACTGCTTATGGATCCATTGTTAAGTGCAAACCAGTCTGGGTTAGTGTGCTGTTTCACCAGTATCATCGCAGAATTTTAAAGAAGAATCCCAGGGCTTTATATCGTGGGATGTAGCTCACATGAACGTGTTTTCTGAGTCATCCACCTTTAATTTACTGAAGTAGAAGCTGTTTGAAACAGATGGGTAACGATTTTAAAGCGTACATATGGGTGACAGAAACTGATAGCTTTCAGAATTCTCTGTGCACTTGCATTTGCTGTAAGAATGGCTTTAATAGACAAATCAATTTAAAACCAACCCCTCTAAACACACACCTGCTCTGTCAAAATAGAAGAATTTGAAAAATTAGTGACCTTGAAATGAAAGCAGTAGTTAATTCCATGCTATTTGAGCAAAACCTCAAAAAACAGTGTAAAAACACATGGTAGAGATGAAAAAACTGTTTTATCAGTATAATCTAAAGAGACCTTCTCAAGAAACATGTTTCTTATGTTTGTATTTTTGTGCTTTTGAACAGAGGGAAATTAGGCAACAACTAGCTGAAAAAGCTAAAGCTGGAGAGCTTAAAGTCGTCAATGGAGCCGCATCTCAGCCACCTTCAAAACGCAAACGGCGTTGGGATCAGACAGCTGATCAGACCCCTGGTGCTACACCTAAAAAATTATCCAGTTGGGATCAAGCAGAGGTAATAATCCTAGTGACATTATTAATGCTACTCCTCTTGAATGTCAGAAGTTTCTTAGTCTATGTGAAAAGAGCAACTAGCAGCCTTTTACTCTATAGTGTGAGTGTTACTGATGCTTCTGGTCTTGTCTTGTACAGACTCCAGGACATACCCCATCTCTGCGATGGGATGAGACTCCAGGCCGTGCAAAGGGTAGCGAAACTCCTGGTGCCACCCCAGGCTCGAAAATATGGGATCCAACTCCCAGTCACACACCGGCAGGAGCAGCAACACCCGGCCGGGACACGCCTGGTCACGCAACACCAGGCCATGGAGGTGCCACTTCCAGTGCACGTAAAAATCGATGGGATGAAACGCCAAAAACAGAAAGAGGTATCGATGGCAAACTGGAACGTGCATAATAAGTTTTGAATGGTTAATTGTATTGGATTTTTTCACTTTAGGTTAACAGTGGGTTCAGAAGTCGGGCAAGGAGTAATTATGGTCTGACATCTAGTGGTTGATGTGGGATGTTGTTCTTGTCCGAGTCTGTAGTGTTGAGTTCTGCCTGTGAGCTTCACTCACACCTGTGAAAGTATCTCGGCTCGAAAATTAAAGCCAAGTTTGGTGGTGTATCTAGTGACTGGTTTATCTAGTGACTGCTGCAGGGTGGGATTTTCATGTGCAGAGGACATAGAAAGGGAGCTCACATTGAATTGCTTCTCATAATACATTTGTGTGTGTTGGTTCTGAACAGTTTAATTCTTTTGAAGAGGTTTTCATTAAAACAAGTTCTGGAAGCATTTTCTCACCTGCCTTACTTGAATTTTGCTCTTGTGTCAGAACAGTGGAAAATTGTTGTTGCCTAATGGTTTTATCAGGGGAGTACATGGAGTAATTTGTTCAGTTTCTAGAATATCTGAGTAGTTCTGTTTTTTAGAATTTTATCTTTTAGTGCTAAGAGTCAGCAAGAAGATATGTTTTTTTCATAAAAGGAAGTTCTCTGTTGTATGTTTTTAGTGTAATGCCTGTAATTTTTTTCAATATTCACCAAAGTAGTCTTTAGTTTTTTGCCTACTCTTTGTTTATTTTGATACTTTTTAATTTGTGTACAAATGAGGACAAGATACTGAAAATGAGCCTGGATATCGATACTGCAGTTGGAGTATGTACTGTTCAGCTCTCTGCAAAAATCGTTTTGTTTTTGCTTAGATACCCCGGGCCACGGCAGTGGATGGGCTGAGACACCTCGCACAGACAGAGGTGGTGACTCCATTGGTGAGACCCCAACCCCAGGAGCCAGCAAAAGGAAATCCCGATGGGATGAAACGCCCGCGAGCCAGATGGGTGGCAGCACTCCTGTCCTGACACCTGGCAAAACACCCATTGGGACACCAGCTATGAACATGGCAACACCTACGCCGGGTAAGCTCAGTCCCTTGGCTGAGGCTTCACTTTGTTTTGTGGGAAAGAAAACTTCTGCCTACAGAAGATTTTTTTTAAAAATACTTTTTTTTTTTTTAATTTGAATACAGGTCATATCATGAGCATGACTCCTGAACAGCTGCAGGCTTGGCGTTGGGAAAGGGAAATTGATGAGAGAAACAGACCCCTTTCAGATGAGGAATTGGATGCCATGTTTCCAGAAGGGTATAAGGTAATGCATCTGGATTAAAATACAGCAGACCATGATGGGCTTTTTTCTTACCAGAGATTGCTGATTTTCTTTTTTTTTTTTTCCCTTACCTGAAGTAGAATGTTTCATATTGACTATTGATTACTGATAGTAGATGCTTGTTTGATTTGGTTGCTGATTCTATTGTAAATCCCTTAAAAAGGAAGATCTAAAGGTGATGTGGAAGGCCAGTCATTGTTCTGCTTCTTGGTATCGGGAATGCCTGTCAGGGCCTGAAATGAGCTCTGAATGGACGGATGAAAATTTCAAGTCCAGGTGTAGAAAACACAGAAGAGAGTAAGAAGCAAGTTACTGTGTTGGTGCAGAATTTGAAGTGCTTCTTTAATCCTTGGAGACTTCAAATTTTATTATCCAAGCTCTCAGCAGTGGAAGTGAGCTTTCTTCTGAAGTCTTGTCAATACAGGATAAGCCCGAATAAAAACTGTCGTAGAAAATTTGCACTGATGTGAACACGGGATGTGTTGTAGGCAATAACACTTGTACAAATCCCCAAACAAATAAAATGAAAGCCAGAAGTGGAGCCATGTTTTGTATTCGATGCCTTCCTCTTTTTAATGTCGGTTGCATTAAATTAAATGTCGTTCTTTCTCCCGCAGGTTCTTCCCCCACCAGCTGGTTACGTTCCTATTCGCACCCCAGCTCGGAAACTTACGGCAACTCCAACACCTTTGGGAGGGATGACTGGATTCCACATGCAGACAGAAGACCGGACTATGAAGAGCGTTAATGACCAGCCATCTGGAAATCTGCCATTCCTAAAACCGGATGATATCCAGTACTTTGATAAACTGCTGGTAAATGAGGTTTCACTTGTGCTGATGTAGCTTTCCTGTTTTCTTTTGAATATGTAGCAATGCCCATTTATTTGTCTGGATTTCTTTGTAGGTTGATGTTGATGAATCAACTCTGAGTCCTGAGGAACAGAAGGAGAGAAAAATAATGAAATTACTTCTGAAAATAAAGAATGGCACACCTCCCATGCGAAAGGTGAGATGAATTGTCAGACACGTTTGTGTAATTCTTTTTCAAAAATTGACACTTGTTTTCAGGTTTAACTTCTGTTGTCCATGAGGTTCTCTTTAAGATAATCTTCTAAACTTTGATATCTATTGTGGTTTAACACCAGCTGCCAAATAAGCCCCACACAGCTGCTTGCTTGCCCCCACCTCACGCCCATGGGATGGATGAGAGAATCAGAAGAGTAATAGTGAAAAGACCTGTGGGTTGAGATGAGAACAATTTAANCGCCAGGCCTCACTCCCTCACCCGGGCAGAGCGACAGCAGAGCTACCTCCACCTTGGGTCCGCCGGAAGAAAGAGAGCGAGAGCTTCCTCTCTCTCCTTATTTATACTCTTGCTTACGTAAAATTGTATGGAATACTGGGAACATGACCTTAGTTCCTTGGTTACAACCTGATCACCAAGGAAGGCCTAGATTCAAAACCACTACATTCTCCACCTCTTATTCCATACTATTTTATGTAACATTTATATTTTACATATTTGCTTATATCCCGCGCATATGTACATATATCTATATATAGTCCTTCGGAGTAGTTGTTTTGTGGGAAGCAATTGACTTCAGCATTAACAGTAGCTCGGTTCGGATTCTTGGCACTTCGGTTACAATCACAGCTCAGGTTTTGGACTGGTTTTTTGTTTCATCGTCACGTACTGGTATCAGCATTGGTCAGGTCTCTCTCACTTGGCGACTGGTCTCCTGTAAAACAACTTGAAGCACAAAGTTAGTTTTTTCCCAAAGATAAATTTCCTTGAGGCACACACTGTATTTTTCCATCCTTCCTCATCATTCACCATGTATACCCTGGCCTTTGAGCGAAGACAACTCCACGAATGGGTTTGTCTTGGCCTGAGGTAGGGGCAACCCAAACGGCTTTACCCAACATACTTCTTAGGTGAATCACTGGAACTTTGTCTCCATTTATAGTGTGGAGGGATTCTGCTTGGGCAGGGCCAGCTCGGTTGACAGAGCCTCTAGTATTTACCAACCAGGTGGCTTTGGCTAGGTGTTTATCCCAGTTCTTAAATTTTCCCTCACATAGTGCTTTTAAAGTTGTTTTTAACAGTCCGTTATATCTTTCAATTTTCCTAGCAGCAGGTGCATGATATGGAATGTGATAGACCCATTCAATACCATGCTCCCGTGCCCACGTGGCCACTAGATTATTCTTGAAATGAGTCCCATTGTCTGACTCAATTCTCTCAGGAGTGCCATGTCTCCATAAGACCTGCTTTTCCAGACCCAGAATGGTATTCCAGGCCGTTGCATGGGGTATTGAATATGTCTCCAACCATCCAGTGGTTGCTTCCACCATGGTAAGCACATAGCGCTTACCTTGGCGGGTCTGTGGCAACGTGATATAATCGACCTGCTATGCTTCTCCATATCTATACTTGTCCCAGCGTCCACCATACCATAGGGGCTTCAATCTTCTTGCCTGCTTGATAGCAGCACAAGTTTCACAATTGTGGATAACTTGGGAAATAGAGTCCATGGTTAAATTCACTCCTCGGTCTCGTGCCCATCGGTAGGTGGCATCTCGGCTCTGATGACCTGAAGCATCATGGGCCCATCGGGCTAGGAACAATTCTCCCTTGTGTTGCCAGTCCAGGTCTATTTGTGACACTTCAATTTGTGCAGCTCTATCTGCTTGTCTGTTGTTACGATGTTCTTCGTTGGCTCGACTCTTGGGTATATGGGCATCTACGTGGCGGACTCTCACATCTAGTTTCTTTACTCTAGAAGCGATGTCTTGCCACAAATCAGCAGCTCATATGGGTCTTCCTCTACGCTTCCAACTCATGTTTTTCCATCGTTCTAGCCATCCCCATAGGGCATTGGCTATCATCCATGAGTCAGTATAGAGGTAGAGCCTTGGCCATTCTTTTTTCTCTGCGATGTCTAGGGCCAATTGGACGGCTTTGAGTTCCGCAAATTGACTCGATTCGCCTTTACCTTCAGTGGCCTCTGCCACTTGTCGTGTGGGACTCCAAACAGCTGCTTTCCACTTCCGGTTCCCTCCTATGATACGGCAAGAACCGTCAGTGAAAAGAGCATAACGCGTCTCTTCATTTGGCAGTTGATTATATGGCGGAGCTTCTTCAGCTCGACTTACTGGCTCTTCTTCCTCTTCATCTGCCAGACTGAAGTTCCCACTTTCAGGCCAATTAGTGATGATTTCCAAAATTCCAGGGCGATTCGAGTTTCCAATTCGGACACGTTGCGTAATCAAAGCAATCCACTTACTCCACGTAGCATCAGTAGCATGATGT